GCTTTACATCATCCATCCATCCATCCATCCATCTTCTTCCGCTTATCCGGGATCGGGTCGCGGGGGCAGCAGCTTCAGAAGGGAGGCCCAGACTTCCCTCTCCCCAGCCACTTCTTCCAGCTCCTCCGGGGGAATCCCAAGGCGTTTCCAGGCCAGCTGAGAGACATAGTCCCTCCAGCGTGTCCTGGGTCTTCCCCGGGGCCTCCTCCCGGTGGGACGTGCCCAGAACACCTCACCAGGGAGGCGTCCAGGAGGCATCCTGACCAGATGCCCGAGTCATCTCAACTGGCTCCTCTCGACGTGGAGGAGCAGCGGCTCTACTCTGAGTCCCTCCCGGATGACCGAGCTTCCCACCCTATCTCTAAGGGAGAGGCAGCCACCCTGCGGAGGAAACCCATTTCGGCCGCTTGTATCCGGGACCTCGTTCTTTCGGTCATGACCCAAAGCTCATGACCATAGATGAGGGTGGGAACGTAGATCGACCGATAAATTGAGAGCTTCACTTTTTGACTCAGCTCTCTCTTCACCATGAAGGACCGGTACAGTGCCCACTTCACTGCAGACGCTGTGCCAACCTACCTGTCGATCTCCCGCTCCTTTCTTCCCTCATTCGTGAACAAGATCCCAAGATACTTAAACTCCTCCACGTGGGGCAGGACACCTCCCTGACCCAGAGAAGGTACTCTACCTTTTCCGGCTCAAGATATGGAGGCACTGATCCTCATCCCAGCCGCTTCACACTCGGCTGCGAACCGCTCCAGCGAGAGCTGCAGATCACAACCTGATGCAGCCAGTAGGGCCACATCATCTGCAAAAAGCAGAGTTGCAGAGTATCAAAGGCCACCAAAACGGATCCCCTCTACACCTCGGCTGCACCTAGAAATTCTGTCCATGAAAGTAATGGACAGAATCAGGGTTGACAAAGGGCAACCCTGGTGAAGTCCAACTCTCACCGGAAACGAGCCTGACTTACTGCCAGCAATGCAGACCAGATTCTGACACCTACAGGGACCCAACAGCCCGTAACAAAGGGCCCGGTACCCCATACTCCCGGAGAAGCCCAAACAGGGCTCCCTGAGGGACACGGTCGAATGCCTTCTCCAAGTCCACAAAGCACATGCAGAGCAGTTGGGTGAACTCCCA